TATCTATCTATCTATCTATCTATCTATCTATCTATCTATCTATCTATCTATCTATCTATCTATCTATATATCTATATATGAATATATATATATATATTCATGTATTTATTTTTTCTTGAGGTTAATGAAAGGCGATACTTTAGGCTATTAGAAAGTACACACACACATTCTGATATGCACAGCATTGCCACTATTCATTGTATTATTTTAGTTTGCCTCTCCTCCTTTGACAAACACTGGGTTGAAACAAACCTTTCGAGCGAAACAGGAAAGCTCAGCGATTACTCATTCATCAGAGACTTTCATATCCTTCTGTAAACATCTAGATTTCTATCTGCTTATGAAAAAGTGTTTATAAAAAAGACAGTGATAAGTTCACATTTACATATATTATACAATACAATATATACAATAATATATACAATATATTTTACAAGTAAATTGATATTACAATGAATCAGAACTTTTAAAGTTTTAGTATAAAAAAAGCAATAAAATTTGTATTTATTTCTTTGTCCTTTACTGAAAAAGAAATTAAATACATTATTAAAAAACTTAAAAGTAAGTAAAAGATTTTAAGTATACTGTGACTCCAGATAGATTGTAATATAAGAACAAATAAAACCAAATAGTATAAGAGAGAAGAAAGCAAAAGCTTTGCAACAGTGTGAAAGTTTGAAACCTTTAATATAATATTTGTCAGGAGCACCAGGAGAGGTTTTACAATTTAGTCATATTAAATTCACTTTTTTTCCATTTGTTATTAATGTGACTAAGCTGAAATTAAGTTCTGCTGCCCTTTAAAGAGCTTCTCGAAATTTACTAATCTGCAACCATAAACTAGAAGCATGGCTGCCAGAGAGGCTGGAAATAATTAAAGAGATTACATTATTCAAAGGTGTGTATCAGAAATGAAGAAACTGAGACAATAGAAACAGTGAAAGTCAATTGCAAAGGAACAGGATCCTAGGACAACATGGAGATCATAAAAACACACATTTCTTCAAAGTTCATAAAAAAAAACTAGGCATCAGCTGGTGAGGAAAGAGGACAATGAAACAGTAGAACTGAGGATTTATTGAGATTGGATTTAAAGTCCTGTAATGAATGTTTCTGAGCCCAGCAATAAATCTAGCAAAGGTCTTTGGGGGTCACCCTAGAGGGGCCCTTACAGAGAAAAGTCCTCCAAATCTCAAAGAATTTTAGGATGGTTTGAAAATAGAATACACAGCAAATGCCTTTTCACAACAAATTGTTTCTTCTTTTTTTTTTTTTGCTAGTTGAACTCTGTTTAAAAAGATCATTAAATAGGATTGAAGAAGATTGTCAAACAGAAGATTGGTAAATGGATTTTGAATTGAAAAAGCTTCCTGGATGGGAACCGAAACATCTGCAAATTTGGAAAAATGTACAGTGGTTGTTTTTTAACTTTTTTGGAATGACTATGACCGGGATTACCGAGAATCCTCACCAGCACACTGTTAAACTGCGACAGAGTGTGTTCAGTCGAAGGCCTATATATATATATTTATATATATATATATATATATATATATATATATATATATTTGAGTTACAGCAAAATTTCATTTCTCTTTGGGATTCATAAAGTATTTTTGAATAAAATTTGGACTGAAGTGAATTATGAATGAATAATAAAAAAAAGCCAATTAATAGAAGTTCTGTGAACCTTTCAGAACCACTGTATCAGCAAAACAATAAATATAGACAGCTTGCCCTACTACTAAAGGAAATGTCCACAAATTCAATAAAAATGCTCTTCTAAATACTATGCAAAAATCTCTAAAACAAAAACTAAAACCATCTATTACTACAGATTGGCACATATATTCGTACCCTAACCTCATTATGGCATTCTACTATAATGAAAAAGAGCTACAAACCCCTCCTGAAACTATATCAACCAGGTTTCTGTTAGCTTTGCAAATATTACTGTATCAGAGGATGGAATCGCTATTCATACATTTCTTCAGCACCAAGCAGCCAAGCTGCAGTTTGCCTAACAGGAATGTGCCATGCCCTAAATCAAACAATATGTCTGCAAACATTTCTCCAATGCTGTGCGTTCCTTTAACATTGTGAATGCTGATTTTCTTCTTTGAACTCATTCAGCTCTTTGAGTACTTTTCTTTATGACTCACAGATATTTTAAAAATATCTTGATTAACAAAAGGTATTTCTACTATGGACCTACTATGGACCATACTACCATTGTTTTTGCAAGACAATTTTAAATGAGGTAGTTTAATTCTTGAGCCTAATTTTTTCAAAGAATATAAACACAAAGACGACAATATCTTTATTCATGCAGACACAAAACCTTATGTCATAATATCTAAAGATTGTCCCCTAAAATCATTGTCACGTGTCTTGACAATTTGATTGATTGATTGATTGATTGATTGACTTTATTGATCTCACAGTGGAGAAATCTACTTGTTACATGGGCTCAAATAGCCAAATAAAAGGTGCCAAAGGAAGAAAAGGTCTATGTGAGTATATATAGTATATACAGTGCATCCACATATGACAGCTGAAGTCTTTTTTCAGTCACCAGAAAAAAGTTTTTTTTTTTTAATAATACCTACTTTTGGGATTGCAACTGAATTATGAGGTACTGTTTTATAAAGGGAAACATTCTAGCTGATATATGTTTTCCAATTGACCGGCAGGAAGGGTTTCCACTTCATCTGTATTAGATCAGGTCAGCTGATCTAAGATAGTGTATGTTTCTCTGTCTTTCAAAATGTGACCATAAAACCATTTATGCTGCAAAGATGTTGTTCCAGCGCTCAGTGTGAAATTACGGAGACACGTTAACAAAAGCAGCTCCACAATATCTATTTCTTTCAGGGGGCTGGCATGAGATCTTAAAACATTCAACCAGGTAACTCTTTAACTATCTTGACAACCTGAGCCATTGTGATTGATCAGCTTTGCTGAGGCCCCTCTTACTCACTGAAGAAATTGTAAATAGAATGAGAGTTTTCTCCGCTCCTAACAATACCCTCAGTCTAGGTCTGCAGTGCAGCCACAATCCAAACAGTATTTCACCTTCTGGGATTTTGGTTTCACCAAAAAATTCCTTGTTGGCGATTTAATTAATTCACCTATAGAGACTTTCTTCTCTTGGGTTCCTCTTTTTGACCTCACTTTTTATAAAAGGTTTTGATTAAAATCCTTTAAAAGATCTGCAGGTTTTTAAACAATGAACCTCCTGACCTTAGACCCGGCAAGATAATTCAAGAATAATCTGAATTGTGGTACAGCACAGCCTCAATGTCTTATTTAAAGACATCTATGTTTAATGAGTTGAAAAATATTTTAGATTTACCCATTCTAGAATTAACAACTGTCCCTCAGTCAGTCAGGAATGGAAAATGGCTGCTAATTAAGAGTTTGATCCAGAGGTTTTCTTTCTGTTTGGTGCGACTTTTCCTTTCTAATGTCAGTATTGCTGCAAAGTTAACGACTATATGTAATCAGCTATCTGCAATTGCTACCTGATTATTTAGGAGGAGGTATTGCTGCAAAGTCAGACCACATACAGTTATCCATATCTCTATGAAAGTGCATTTTTAATTAATTATCTTAATAAAAAGTAATTGGCAGCTTAGCTGGAACTGTAACATCGGTCATGAGGGAAATTGCACTTGTTAACTAAATCTGTTTGTTTAGCTTGCTTTTTATGAACCTGTATTATCAAAATCAAATAACTCTCATAACTTAAATGAACAAAGAAGTTGGTTTTTTTGTATGTGTTGGGATAGGAATGTGTATTCACTTCTAATATTATAGCTTCCGCAACTAATGACAGTTATAATCATTGTCATGTTAACACCATGAGGGAGCTCTTCTGTTTGGCTGCATCAGGTTTTTTTTTTAACTCTGTAATAGACATGATAGTAGATGATCAAATTTCGCATCCATACCTCTGCCAATATCTTTTATTTAAAATGTACTATAGAGCTTAATTTGCTTGTATTTTGTGTTTTCAGGAAGGGATATTTTGGAGGCTTCACACATTACAATTTACCTTAATATCATTTGACAGTAAGAAGGATCATGTTTAATTAAAAGATGACTTTCATAACTTTGCTGCATGCTCTCTTTTTTGGGGGTTGTAGGCATGTTGCCCAGGGATATATCCAACACATTATATCTCATAGATTTTATAAGAAAACATAAAAGCTTCCAAAAATGTAACCAGCTCTTGTTTTTTTTTTTTTGTCCATAACAGGAGTGACTGTTATAGACAAACCCATTTCTTTTGATAATGGTTCAAATAAACAGCATTGGTACATTTCCATTACTGAGTGGCAGATCATGTGAAGGGTCGGGCCACAAAGTAAACCAAATGACCTGACGGGTGGTTTAGATTTACACCTCGCTCTGCAACTATATCTGCGTAGCACAGGTGTTTTTCCACCTGTGTCACAAAGATTTAATCTTCCATGTTTCCCTCTGCAAAATAAAAAAGAAGACAGGAGTCCTGGTGTTATCTACACCTTAAATAGAAAAAAAACCCTGATGATTTTAACATCAGGAAAACATTTACGAAAAATTTTTACTTTGCTATTCAGATTAAGTGTGAATGAATCACAATTAACACACAGCCACTGTCATATGTATCTCAAACTTCTACATATATTTTGATTAAAATCCTTTTGTATGAGGTTTCAAAAAACTTTTTCTAAATGTTATAATTTCAGCCTACTATGCTTATATTATTATTTGACCCTTTTGTTGTTTGCAAAACTGAATCTGCAGCGAAAAAACTCCTCCCCCCCAAAAAACAGCAATACATTGTTCTATTTTAAAAGGAAGATTCTTATTTTTTTGAACTACACATATGTAAAGACCTGAGATTAATTGAATCCTGCATGTTTTAACCTATAAAATACTGTTTAGCTGCAGAAACGACTAGAGTTGCTGTTTTTTGTTTTGCCAAGGTTGTCTGAAACAATAGGTCATTCAGGCCTAGCTGTCACTGTAAACTCAAGACACGGCCATGTTGTTAAAGTAACATAATAATTTACAAGTAATGCCAAAAAATGGTAGATTAAAAGGCAATTTGGGATGCCTGTTATGTTTTATGTTTAAGAAAACAAAAAATATATATAAAATGCATTTCGCATACCTTTAACGTAAGTCAGGGAGCGTATTTACTGCTTGCTGCACTTATCAAAGACTTCCTGCAACCATCTTACACCCAATTGGTTCTTATCTAAATGGAGATATGCTTCTATGGAGAAATGTTGATGAGATAGAAGGAGAGAAGGATCAAAGTGATGCTGAAAGAATAAGTACCAATAAAATATAAAGCACTGGGAGACAGGCAGATAAAGAAGGAGTGGTCTGAGTCAGCAATGTAAAGATAATAAAGAGAGGACTGAACAGGGTGGAGGATCTTAATTAGAAATCAGTACCTGACAAAAAATGACACTTACCCACTCTGGGATGAAGAAGAGGTCAGGAAAGCTGATGAAAATCCTTCCACCAGTGGGGAGAACATCACCTGAGGTTGTGGAAGCCATAGTCCAAATGTTTGGGTGTAGGTGTGAGTGTCTTTGGTTTTTCTCCTGAATGTGATATGTAAACTGTTTTGATTCTGCTCTTTAAAGGGTGTATTTCTCTCTTTCTCTGTCTCCTTCTGCACCTCCCTCCACTCTCCTCCCCTCCACCTGCCCATCCATTTCCAACCGACCTGTTT